TGCCATATTGTGTTGCTTGTGTGGTTCATAGAAAGAGCTTGGGCTGCCTGTGGTTTACGCCGGTGCGAGAAACATGACTGCAATGTCGAAAACATGGATTTCGGTAGCGCTAATTTCCCAGTTCGTCCTCATTTTAATGGCCTATCATCTCTTTTATAGTGAACCAAGTAAGACTTTGGAGACGTCGTCGGTTCCCAAGGATTTTTTAGTAAATTTGAGAGATCTCCAACAGTCGAATCAACATCAGTCAATTTCAACTGATGAAACAATGGAGGACGCAGCGAAGTGTATCAAAGATATCAACTGGAAAGAAATACCCCGAAAACCAGCGCCTCCAGCAAAGGAGAAGCACGACAAATGGATTGTTATCACCACTATAAATTCACCAACAGCAGATGTGAAGAAGTTGGCCGGTATTGAGGGTTGGAAGGTTATCGTTGTCGGCGATACAAAGAGCCCGGCGAACTGGAGGTAACTTTAATATTTGTATTTGAACTTCAACTGGTTATTTAGCTGTGAATGTCTCGTTGTGTTTCTCCCAAACATTCTGAATTAAAGTTTGTTGCGCTAAACGTTTCTACTGATGAAAGTGATGCTTTTCGATTCTACATGCTGTACATGCCGGAAAAAATACATCCTCATCCACATGAGTTTTGTAAGATACCGACAGGACTGTAGAAAAAACATAGCAACGATAGGTAAAATAAACATTTGAAATAAGGCATCTAAAAATCTAAAATCTAGGATAATGAATGAAAGTAAAATAGATAAAATACTGTTGTTTAAGAAACGCTGACAAATTGGAATTTTAAGAGTCTAGAGAAGTTGAGATTACTATCTCCTCTTGGAGCTACCGTCGCTTCCATCTAAGCCTGAACACATGATGCTGAAACATGCTCTAATTGGTTGTCAAATGTGGCATGATTGGTCATCAAACATTTGAAGTTTAGCAGACCGAATACCATCTCTTTTACTTGGCAAAACGTCATCTGAGTGTATTGCCATCTGAGTGTATTGCCTCTGAGAAATATTTGTTTCCTTTTCACTTGAAATAAAAATCGTCTTATTAAACCATTGGCTTCCAGAGCTTTTTGCCAAAAAGGCATATTTTGGGCATTTTGGATATTTTCAGCCTCAATATGGGCCAAATTAGCTCCAATTTACTCAAAAAGGCATTTGCAACATGTCAGTACTTTTCCACCAATTCCAACTAATATTTCAGCGAACAATAATTGACCGGATAAAGACTGAGCTATCTATCGCGACTGGAAATAGTCAACAAATGCAATCAGACTTTCCCATGGTTAACATCCCAAAGCCAAGGTGATTCAGAGTCATGTTCATGAACATATAAAATAAACTATAAACCACGAGGTAGTCTCTAGCTTTAGAAATAGGCTTTACAATGCTCAGGCTTGCTCAGACTTCTACAAAAACCACAAGGTGTGCGATAGTCTTTGCGCATATGACATATGATGTATGACATTATTCAAAATGTTGCTGAAAATGCAGACATTCGACAAAAAAGTCTCAAAAGAAGTCACCCTTGAAACCACAGGATACCCAAGATTATGAACTGCATTCTGCAAATGCAATGATGCCAATTTTGGTTGAAGGTGTTGACATCAGAAGTAGAACAAAGGTCAGCATTCATTTGACGGCACAGTCGTCATTGGGTTAATAAATGAAAATCGATCATTGATTAGCCATTGATTAATACGTGTTAATCAATGGCATTAGCTAATTAATACCAATTCTTAGAAAATAGCCCAAATAAAATATGTGCATTTCCACTATTGTTTCTTTTTATCAATGAGATTATGAGCTCAAGATTTTTATCACATGATAGTTGATGAGGGCGTAGCCCGAGTCCACTATTATGCAGGGCATCAAAATAACGGCCGGTCAAACTTCACTCACTGGTCATGTTGACCAGTCACGTCATGTTGACACAGTTAATACATAATTCATTCTCGAGTAAACAATGAAATCTTCAACTGCAAATCTCAGATTTTATCTCTGTAAAAATACAATGATGACCTCTCACGCTTAAACACACACTTAAGATCATTCGCTTGCCATTTGTCATGTGTTCAAGATCGAAAGAATGCCATTTGAGTGACTGGGGTTAGCGCCACGTCGCACTAGAGCAAATTCAAATATTTCCACTTTTTGGTGAGGAAAGAAATTGGCAAAAATTTTGCAAGTTCCAAATTTTGGCAGTGGTTGCATCAGACCAACATGGTTGAACCAAAACATTACTGATTGAAGTATATGTCACAAGATCTATATTTCTCAATTAAGTATTTTATTAGATTTTATGCGAGCGTTCAACTCTTCACAGATTTTTCTCCATGCTGCATGTTCTTGACTCTCCGCTTTCCAACAACTGGTGATTTTTGGCCCAGAATTGGACGAGCAGTTTTGGCTTGGCTTGCATTTGTAGCTTGCGCCTCTTGCAAATTGCTGCCAGTAACCAGATCCAAGGTGTGAGTCATAAGAATTTGAATAAAAACGCCGCTCATAGTCCTCTTTTCTATTGAAAGAACTGTAAAAAGTGTCAGATAGACCAGGTAAAAAATGATTTTGTCCCACCATTGCATGTGCCAGACTGGACTACCTGACCAAAGTTATTTTCTCGCCGTAATTTTATCCAGACATGTTTTAAAAGATATGACAGTTTAATGGTTACAAAAAACAAAATTGTTTGCTTTGCCAAAATTTGGAAGCCTCTGAGGCAGCACTTCGGCTTCTCTCAAAATTGGTGAAATTTTGCAAAAATTTCTTCATGAACGAAAACTCTCTCTAAATATGACTATAACAGAGTTTAGAAATTTTTTATGGCTTACACTTAAGAACTTAATCTTAGTTACATCATTAAGAAACTTGTGTAACTGTAGCCATATTTGTAGTAACCCAACAATGCGTTGTGTGTTGGTGTGGGCATGGGTGAGGCTCAAGGAAACAGGAACTTCTTCAGCTATATTTGTTTACTCAGTTATTTTTGAAGGCCAAAATTAGGATCTGTTGATGCATGCTTGGTTTCAATTATGTTTTGATGGGCATAAACACTTTGTAGAACATGTAAACAACAGCTAACTTGATTGAGTACAACGATCACAAAATTCGAAGTTTCATCCAATGTCCATCCATCTTTGGTAGCTGGCAAGAATTTCACTGACAGTGTGCCACTTAATTGCCCTCCTGAGCCCTGTGAAGGCTATCTTTGGTTAAGTTTTAGGTCGTTCTTTGTACTAAACCACTTTCAAATTATATTCTTGGGTTTATAGGCCATCATTACTTAACTTCTTGACTGGTCAGAAACGAGACATGCCTGAGCTAAAATTACTTTGTCTAGTCAACATGATGGGCCATGGGTCTAAAATTGTTTTGAGCCCTATTTTGCAGAGGAATCAAGAGCGAATAATCTCATTGTTTTAGTGTAAATTGTAAATTCTCCAGATTTAGCGGTCTGGGTTCGAGCCCTGGCTGGGTACATTGTGTTGTGTTCTTGGGCAAGACACGCTACTCTCACAATGCCTCTCTCCACCCAGGTGTATAAATGGGTACCAGCAAATTTAATGCTGGGGGTAACTCTGGGATGGACCAGCATCGCATCCAGGGGGAGTAGAAATACTCCTAGTTGCTTCATGGTACAGAAAGTGGCATAAGCTCTGGCCTGATGGACCACTTGGCTTGTTTACAGACATTACTTACCTTACCCTTACTGTAAATCTAGTAATTGTTAAAAGTTTGATCTAAATCCCCTGCAAAGAAGCAGCCCCCAGTGCACACTGTTAGGCTACTCACTGTCTACAACAGAATAGTCTCACACTGAGTCTGATAGTGAGTAGCATGACCAATCAGAGAATCGCATTTGTGATAGCACACTAGTAGATTTATACCAAAACTCGATAGAAACACGATACATGTGTTCTATTTCTTAACTAGAAGTGCCATTTTTAACCAATCAGTGCAAGTATTTTCTCTGGGCTATTTCCCAATGGTAATTTGCCATTAATCGTTATTGTATAACCATCTGTCAGTTTTGTTACAATGTACATTACACAAGTCATTATATTTGTTGTGGTCACTGCATAATTAGAGACCTTTACATGTAGATTGGACTTCAAGTACAAGATTGAATATGAGTATGAATGTCCATTTTCAAACCAGTGACGTTTCTAGAGCCTTTGCTCTTGATGTTGGTTTTAGGTAGAGAGGGTAGCTCATGGGAAGAGATGGGTATGTGATTTGATGATGTGAAGCCTGCAAACTAGAATTGAAAAGTCACTCTCGTGCTTGTACTCAAATCTAAAGTTCCCTAATAATAAAGCTCTCTGCACGCATTGCAGGCCTATGATGAGGGACCATAAGGCTCTCTGCACGCATTGCAGGCCTATGATGAGGGACCATAAGGCTCTCTGCACGCATTGCAGGCCTATGATGAGGGAGCATAAAGCTCTCTGCACGCATTGCAGGCCTATGANTGAAGACCACATGCAAAAATTCAAGCCCTTTCGCGAAAATTTTTTTTTTTACCCAAATCGTCCCTTAGCATGGTTTTGCACTCACCCCTTCAATTGGTACACAGTCTGGTCCACTTACATATGTGAAAATAATTTACAAGGTTGTATTCATTTATCAAAATGTCTTAATTAAACGTAATTATTTATCCAGTTTTGTTGCTTTGAACTCAAGCGATATGAACAAAAGATCATGTTATTTTCAAAACTTTTTCGAGGATGACTGAAGATTTGAAATGCAGAAGGCCAAACTAAAAAAACAAGAAATCTGAGGACGAGAATGATATAATAGTTCTCTGTATGTAACTACACTTGTCTCAAATCTCCTTGTATGTATGTTTTCTATACGTCTTAATGAATTCTATCAATGTGATTTTCCTAAGAAATTAGTATCAAAATAACTTCACAATTTGTTCTCTATTTAAAATTGCAGCAGAGGACCGTGTCTAACAGTTAAAATATTTTGAAGGGGAAATAGCTTGTGGTTTTCTGTAATTTTTGAAAAAAATAAATGAAAACCTCTTTGTCTTTTTATTATCAACCTGGCCCCAGTTGTTCAAAGGCTGGATAATGCTATCCACCAGATAAATCGCTATACAGTGGATGAGTTTTAAAAAAAAACAAACCAGGCTATCCTTTAGATAGTGTTATCCGCCTTTCGAACAACCCAGGCCTGGTTCACTTCCTGCACCATCTCAAAGAAAACAGTATTAACTTTTGTTGTTTTGTTCTGTTATTTTTTATTTTACAGCCATCCCAACTGTGTTTTTTTGAGTGTTGAGAAGCAGAAATCCTTGGGATACCGCATCCATGACTTTCTTCCTTATAAAAGTTACGCTCGAAAGAACCTTGGTTACCTTTATGCTATTCAACATGGCGCCAAAATCATCTATGACACAGATGACGATAATTCCCCAACAAGTGGGGAAATAACTTTCTTCCAGCAAGAAACTGGTGACTTTTTTGTATACAGAACAGATTCTATTGTGGTTAATCCGTACGAACATTTTGGACAGAGTACTATTTGGCCAAGAGGGTACCCGCTAGATCGCATTGCTGATCCCCCGTCACACAAGTTCATCAAATGCCAAGGGGTGGATACAGCAATACAGCAGGGAGTAGTGAATGGTGACCCGGATGTAGATGCCATCTTTCGGTTAACAAGAAAAGACAAAGACGTGGATTTGAAAGTTGAGTTTGACGCTGACGCACCATCTGTTGTCCTTCCTCCAAAAACAATGGCTCCATTTAACTCCCAAAACACGTTGTTTTTGAACAAGGGATTATGGGGCACGTTATTGCCAATCACAGTAGCATTCCGAGTCTGCGATATCTGGCGAGGTTACTGGGCTCAGCGATTATTATGGGATGTTGGATCACAACTTTCTTTTTTTCCACCAAATGCTGTTCAAGTGAGAAATGCACACAACTACCTTGATGATTTTATTGATGAGAAAATGCTTTACCATGATGCTGGGAGATTGGTGGAGTTTTTAATCAACTGGAAATCTGACAAACCAGATTTCTTTAGCAGAGTCCTGGATTTAAGTATAGCTATGGTTCACAATGGCTTCTGGGAGATGAAGGATGCCATGTTAACAGAAGCATGGCTAACTGATTTAGTAAGTGTTGGATATGAAATGCCAGCTGTGAAAACTGAACCACAAGCATGCCTGAGAAATACTGTAGGTGGAGAAACTAACCTACACTTTAAGGAAAAGCCGTCTTCATATTTAAGAGCAGGTAAAGAGTTGAAAATTGTAGTGCCGGTAAAAAGTGCCGGGCAAAAGTGAAGTGGACATTTATCATAGGGAGGGATGAGCCAGGTGTGTTAATTTAATTTGTGACTCACAAAAAAATTACCACAATAATTTGATGCATATTGCTAGGAAAAGATGACTGAAACACCAACAAAAACAGCAGTCATTGAATAAACACCAAGCAAAAGCTTCAATTGTCCTCTGCTTTTTTTGTTGTTTTAGTAAAAAACTGAAAACTTGAAAACTTGTTTTAAAACTGAAACTTGAAACATCAAATTTGATATAATAATTATTATTATACCAGAATAATGACAAACTAAATCAGCATTGCTTCTGAACAGAAATGAATTTTCCCTAAAAGGGATGTGGTAATGTATGTTCCAGGGCAATAGTTCTGTCTCCTAACAAAATCGGCATATTTGCAGTATTTTAAACAATAATAATTATTCCAGCCCAATGTCAAAACTGTTTTTTTTTTTTCTGGTAATATACTCATAATCACTCCCAATTGAATAAAATGAACAGCTTTAATCAGACCTACATAAGTTCACAAACTCGTTCGCCATGTGCTTTTTTTCTCTTTTCCATCTCATAATGTTTTGAAACAGTTGCCAGCCCCCACAGGGCTATGGTTAGGGACGCCTGACCAATCTTACGATTCGGCTTGCAAAACAAAACCATGTGGCTTAACATAACATACGGTATTTTCTTGATTAAACGCCTGGTGTTTATTTTAAACTTGACTCACGGATCAGGCGTTTATCGACTTTTGCAGTTTATTCAAGCCTGCAGTTTATTAGAGTTTTTATTCATTATTTTTAGAGATTTAAAATATCTGATAATTACACCTAAAGCTAACATTTTGAATACCGGTATTGTAGTCTTCACTTGGCAAGTGGTTCCATTAAGGGGATATGAGTATCCCACATCCTGTTTATTCGTGGCCTAAATATTATATCCAGTGAATTCCAGTTGCAAAAAGTAACAGTTTTCTACTTGATGTCCCATTTTATTATATAAGCATCAGTGAAATACCAGGTGAGCTTTTGCACATAAACATGATATCATTACACGTGAAAATAACATGTTATTTCACAAGTGAAAAGATCACCATTATTATGGTTACATAATCGCTTAAAGAGTACTTAGATGTGTTGCTGTATGATCGAAACATCATCAGTTCTTCCTCGGACAATTTCGGTTATCTTCGGCAATCTTTGGAAATCTTCGGAAATTTTCAGAAAATGTTCGGAAACGTTTGTCTGGCCTTCGGACAACTTTTGGAGAATCTTTGGAAATCTTCGGAAAGTGTTGGGAAATCTTCGGAAAATCGTCAAAAAAGTCGTCATTAGTATATTTATATAACAAAATAATACATGGCTGCTTGTAGATATGGAAATTTCTCTTCTCGTGTTCAACTTTATATATCACTCGTTCGCTGCGCTCACTCGTGAGATATCAATTTGAACACTCGAAGAGAAATTCCATATCTACGCACACCCATGTATTATCCTCTATTCATCTGATCTTAATATCCCATATCCCATTAATTTTTCCCCAAATATCACGTTAATTTGTTACCCAAATATCCGCTATCCTGAAAACCCTCAAGGGTAAATTTGACAAGAAGGCCATAAACAAATGTTCATATTGGTTAGCTCTTCACTTTGTTGTTGAGAGGAACAATGGCCTTCTTTACTATGAAAACCAGTTACGACAATTTTCTTGAGAAAAAATTGTCGCTTTTTATCAACTATTATTCCTAACATAACCTGGTAGGTGACTGTTGGTAAACTTGTATTCTGACTGGCTTTGCTGGTACCTTCTATTGATCATTAGTATAAATCTACTAGCGTTCTATCACGAATGCCGTTCTCTGATTGGCTACGCTACTCACTATCTATTCTGTTGTAGATAGTGAGTAGTGAGTAGTCTGTTGTAGATAGTGAGCGTCCGCTGGGGGCCGCTTTGTGTTTTCGGAGTGTCTTTGAAGAGGATTTAGATTAAAGTTTTAAACAACTACTAGATTTATACTAAAACGTTTAGATTATTCGCTCTCGATTTCTATGCGTGATAGTTTACTCGGGCTGCGCCCTCGCCTACTACCACGCGACAGAAATCTCGAGTTCATAATGTTATTGTTAAGTAGAGCGCAGTTAGGGCACCCCTTGCAGTAATGTGTGTGCAGTTTACTGAAAGTATTACAGAAAGCAATGGAAAAAAGCGTTTCATTGTCATTCTATATTGGATTTTGTGAAAGCAATGATTGCAATATAATGGCAAACTGTCCCAGGGTGAAAAGGAGATTTGAGTGATTACAAGTGATTACAAGTAAGGTAAGGTAAGGTAAGGTAAGGTAAGGTAAGGTAATTTATTTTACGTCAAGAACACGGGGAGTGGTTGCCCAAGTCTCCCGAGCCAGGGGCTCATGATAAAAGTGTTTGACATACATGTTAAAAAAAAGATTTAAAAACTATATATTAAAA